GCCACACCTGGACGAGCACCTGCACCCGGCCGGAGGCGCGCCGCTCGCCTTCGTGGACGCAGTCCCGGCGCTGGAGCTGCGCTTCCCGCGCGGCGCCGAGGTGAGGCCGCGCCGGCTGCGGGGCCGCGCCGACCTCAACGGCCGATCGGGTGCGGTGGCAAAGTACGACGCGCAGGGCGGGCGCGTTGGGGTGGACTTTCCGCCGCCGGTCGGGCTCGTGTCGATCCGCGCCGCCAACCTTGAGATCGGGAGGCACGAGCGCGCGAGGCGGCGGCTCGAGGCGGAGGAGCGGCGCCGGCGGCAGGAGTACGGCACGAGGAGGTGAGCGCACACTCATAGAAGGAAGGATTTACTAGTTTTTTGTGTAGGTGGGGCAAAAAAAATACATATCCGACTGGGACGAAGATGCATCTATCCCTTCATACGGCTCTAATACTCGTGATCTCCTCTCTTTACAACACTCGCCTTCTTCGACGACGTCGCGTCGCGCTCGCCTCTGAGCTCTGTGCTCTGAGAGTGCGGGTGACCGCACCGCGCACACGCCCCTCGCCCGCCCGCCCGCGCGCGTCTCTCGTCGAGACAAGTGAGAGGCCACGCCTCCACGCCTGCTCGCCCTGCTTGGGTGACGCCTCGGGGCTGCCGCCGCGGGGCATAGGTTCGACGGCCTCGTCTCCTCCCTCCGCGCCTCACCGGGGAGTGCCGCCTCTGCCGGGCGGGCGCCTTCCCCTCCTTCCTCCTGCCTCCGGGCGGGAGGCCAGACATAGCCTCCTGGAATATTGTCGACGTGCTCTAGCAGGGCTCGTACGACGCGGCGACCATCGACGACCCTCGCTAAGCCAAGCCGTACCTGCTGGACCTCGACCTCCTCGGGGGCGGGAAGACGGCCAAGCCCATCACGGGATCGCAGCTGCCAAGGCGCTCGCCCGCTATTTGATTGCGTTTCGGATTGCCCTTCGCCGCGTCAAGCGCACCGCGTCAGGCAGGATTGCCTTTTCGTCACGGAACGCTGGGAGCTCCTCCGGCCTGAAGTCCACTGGCGAATCCTCATCCCCGCGGCCGATAGTCTTCTCCAGGGCGTCGCACGCCGCAGCCGTGCGCGTCCCTGGGATCGCCGCGCGCAGCCGTCGATATGCGAGGACGCGCGATCTGCAGCTTGGCTCGTGCAGAGGCACGAGGCTGCCGCCCACGCGGCCGAGAAGTGAGCCGGTTGCCGCCTTGGCTCCTAGGAAGCCAACCAGCCGGCGCAGGTGCTGCTCGCGCCGGCTCGGGCCAAGAAGCTGCTCGTAGTAGACGCGATGGTACGGCACACCCGCGCCACGCAGCAGGGCCTCCCAGCGGCGATCCTCTGCCTCCATCGAGCGGATTCTCGCGAGCGTGCCGTTACTCCACGAGTAGCGTGCGCTCGAGATCTCGTGCGCGAGGCTCGCATTGTTCGTATGCCACAGCACAAAGGAGGGGTGCACGACCGAGACACAGTCGCACCATTGCTCAGGGTTGGCACCTTTGGCCGACAGCCCGCATTGCACCGCGTGGCCGTTGCAATGAAATTCTCCCCGGCAACCGCGCGCGACCCACACAGCCGCCGTTATCGAGTCTCCGACACACCCAAAGGTGCTATTGCCTGAGCCGTCGCGGCTACACCGAGCGCGGCGGCTGCGCTGCCTGGCCAGCGACACGCTGCAGCCGGCCTGCGTTCTGTTGGCGTTTGTGCCTGCCACGCCTGACGAGCGCACAAAGCTACGGGCGGACTGAGATCCAGAGGCGATGCTCAGAATCTTGGCGCCTCGCTCCAGGTGCACCACTGAGATGCCCCTCCTTCGGAGCCAGTCGAAGAAGGGGGCGTCGCCGCTGCCACTGAGCTGCCGGGGAACCTGGTCGTACATGAGCTTGTATCCGGCTGCAGCACGCACCGTGCTATTCGCGCAGTCCCGTGCGACGGCTGAGAAAGCGCTGTCCGCTCGCCTCTCCCACTGCTCCCACGTCACTGTGTGTAGCCGTCGGCGGTAGCCCATGTATGAAAACTCAATGAGCAGCTCGGCGTTAGGGACACCCGGCAGGAGTGCTCGACCCTGCGCCGTTCCCGAGCCGCAGGTCACACCGGGCTGCGCTATCAGCACCTGGCACAGCCAAGTCGAGCCACTGCGCTGCGTCGTGAGTAAGAGGAATGGTCGGCACGCCATGCCAACGTGTTATTGCAATACGGTTGGCAAGTTTCTGAAGCAGGGATCCTTCCTTGAATAATAATAACGCGAGGCCCCAAATCAGCGGAGCTGTGGGGATAGGAGCGCCGCAAGCGGCGTGGCGTGGAGCGGTTGTGCATCCCTCCGGGGGCCCCTCTGCGCCTCCGGGGGCCCCGCAGTGCCAATTCTCGAAAATCAAAAATTCTCGCGTTCCTACATGTTTACCGCGTCGAGCTTCCCACCAACCAGTACCAACACCAGTGCCGCGGCCCGCGGGGGCGACGGTCCACAAGCATCAAGGCCCACGCTAGCTCTCGGATAGTCTGCGGCAAAAAATCGATACGTCGTGCGTCTCCCTCAGATGACGCATGCCGAGCGTATTCCCACCGAGGTCAGCTGCCACGCGTCGCTCGCGAGGCAACTGAGCCGGACTCGCTGTGTTTCTGGTGGCAACTTTGGGTGCATCGGAGATGCCACGAACGCGACACTCTGGATTTCTCGCGGCTGTCAGGGCCATTTCAGATGCAACCGCCGTTGTGACGATTGGGACGCCACGGATCCCGGCCGTTGTGACGCAGAAGGGTGTCGGTGCGACTGCGTCCCCAGCATCGCACTGCGAGGAAGGGGCGATGTGGTCAGCAGAGGGGAACCTCCTCCTCCGCCGTCCTCTACGGCTGTCGCAAAGAACGCTTTGAACGAGGGACGCGTGCTGTTCATGCGCTCCACCAAGACGGGCAGTACCTCTGTGCTGGGAGCCATCCACAGTGAGACACACCCTAGATCTGACGAGAGACTGACCGGTCAGCTACCAGTCCGGCCCCGGCGATTGTATTGACCTGCTCGCCTCGAACGCGTGTCAGGTTGGGGTGGCTGCGTTCGGGTGGTAAATCATGACGGAGGGTGCTACAATATCTCAAACTGCATCGCCGCCTCATTCCAAGGCGTTCCCGTGGCTGGCCTGCGACATCCGTACACGAGGTATGCGTCGCAGGAAGCGCACGCCATGTCCCGCAGGGACTTTACCATCAACCGCAACCTGACGAATCTCGACGGTTTCTATGCGCCCATCGAGGCGGCTTGTGGCGGCGGCGCAGAATGCACCAGGCGCGAGGTGAACAGGCGGGTCCGCGTGAGGATGCGAGTTCTGCTGTGGCCTCAGGCGTTCTGGATTCGGCCATCGACTCTCATTGTCTGCGTCTCGGAGAATGCAACCCTGACCAACTTGCGTTGGGGGCGGGCACTGAACCACCTTTGCAACACAACTGTCACAGACGAGGAGACAACGCAGGATGCAGCAGCGAACCGCAGGAGCACACACACGTACAACGACACACGGGCATACAACACGAGCCTCATCGCGCGCGTCTTCCGAGAAGACGTGGTACTGTGGAATCGGCATTGCGCTGATGGTGGCGAGGGGTGGGGCGAACGGGGGCGTACTGAAGAACATCCGCGCGCTCGTCGGGTTCTTTTCTCGTCGGGTATCACCCCGCTTCGTGCCACTCTGTGACTGAGTGTGTGTTGGAGTTCATATACAGCATACATCATACAGACGCACGGACAGCCTATGAGCCGTCTCAACTTGAGGGCTCGGGTTTAAGCTCTGAGGCGGGGCATGTCCTAACATCAGTGGACACACCTCGCCGCGACCCACAGCCCATGCCCTCCCCCACACCAGCCCGCCGCCGCGACGCGACGCGTCACTGCGCGGCGGCGCGCGAGGCCAGCGCCAGCAGCCTCCTCGTCTCCTCCGTGAGCCGGTCGCAGTAGTCCGGGGTGGTCGGCCTGGTGTGTCGGCCGCGGGGGCGACGGGGGTGAGCAAGGCTACGAGTATACCTTAAGGTACACCGACCTCGTGCCGGTGTTCGATCGCTGTGGACACGGCTCGGATACGGCCGGCTGCAGCCGTGTGCGTGGTGTCGCTGTGTGCTCGGCACGCGTCAGCCCCCCCCTCCCCATATCTCCCCATATCTCCCCCATATCTCCCCATATCTGGAGGCGGCTGACCCGTCGCACGCGCCATACAGCCCCATATCTCCCCCATATCTCCCCATATCTGGAGGCGGCTGACCCGTCGCACGCGCCGCTGCGCAGCGCCGCGTCGCACGCCGCCGCCGCGCCCGGGAAGTCCTCGTGCTGGTAGCGGAGCAGGCAGGTGTAGTAGCCTGGGGAGATAGGGGGAGATAGGGGGAGATAGGGGGGAGATAGGGGGGAGATAGGGGGAGATAGGGGGAGATGGGAGCAGGCAGGTGTGGTAGCATGGAGATGAGGAGATCTGCCGCATCTAGGCCTCGAGATATGCGGAGATCTGCCGCATCTGGGCGTCGAGATATGGGGGAGGTCTGCCGCATCTAGGCGTGTGCAGTCACCGTTCCGGCGCGTGCGCGGCGCCGCCTCGAAGGCCGACTCCATCTCCTGCAGCGCGCGCCTCCTGTCGCCGAGTGGCCACGGCGCGACGGCGAAGAAGCCTCCGAGGTAGCAGTGGCCGACGTGGCCGTCCCACGGCCCGTGCTCGCTCACGAGCTACATGGGTTCGGGTTGCGTGGGGTGTGGGGAGGGTGGGTTCGGGTTGTGTGGGGTGTGGGGAGGGTGGGTTCGGGTACCGAGGGGTAGGGGAGGGTGGGTTAAGTAGCGTGGGGTAGGGGAGGGTGGGTTCGGTATCGTGGGGTATGGGGAGGGTGGGTTCGGGTACCGAAGGGGTAGGGGAGCGCGCCTGCTCTGCCAGCGACTTGAAGGTTGCGCCAGCGCCGGTGAGCGCCTGCCGCATAACGAGTGCGCAGGAGATAGGGGGAGGCAGGGGGAGATTAGGGGGAGATGTGGGGAGCGCCTGCCGCACGACGAGTGCGCGGGAGAGATTAGGAGATAGGTGGAGATGTGGGGAGATGTGGGGAGAGATGAAGAGCGCCTGCCGCACTACGGGTGCGCGGGAGATAGGGGAAGAGAGGGGGGAGATGGGGGGTAGTTTGGAGAGCGCCTGCCGTACGATGCCCTTGGATGCGGACGAGTACATGAAGGCGTCCATCTCTGCCGCGGCGGCGCTCGCGCTGGTTCGGTACGGCGCGTGCGCGGCGCGCGCAGCCTGGACGAGCAAACACGGGTCACTCCCCTCCCCGTCAGCGGTCGCTCCCCCTGCCGCCTCCGCATTTCATTCCGCAGAGGCCCCTTCTTGTGTGCAAGGGAGAGCGAGACTCATCATTTAGAGAATGCGCGCCTGGACGAGCGCGAGTGCGCGCGGCCCGTGCTCGCCTACGTGGTGGGTTCGGGTACCGTGGGGTAGGGGACGGTGGGTTCGGGTACCGTGGGGTAGGGGAGGTTGGGTTCGGGTACTGTGGGGTAGGGGAGGTTGGGTTCGGGTACCGTGGGGTAGGGGAGGTTGGGTTCAGGTACCGTGGGGTAGGGGAGGTTGGGTTCGGGTACCGTGGGGTAGGGGAGGTTGGGTTCGGGTACCGTGGGGTAGGGGACGGTGGGTTCGGGTCACCGTGGGGTAGGGGACGGTGGGTTCGGGTACCGTGGGGTAGGGGAGGTTGGGTTCGGGTACCGTGGGGTAGGGGAGGTTGGGTTCGGGTACCGTGGGGTAGGGGAGGGTGGGCTGGGGTACCGTGGGGTAGGGGAGGGCAGCCGCGCGCCCCAAAACTTCTTGTTGGCGGGTGTGTCGAGGGTGCCGTCGAGGAGAAGGATGTTGCCGCTGCCGCGGATGCGCATGGCGCAGTTGAGCGCGTTGCCCGCCATCAGCTTCAGCTCCGCCGCCGCCACCGCGTCGGCGTGCGCCGCCCTCGCCGCGGCCTCAAAGATGTCGGCCGCGGCGAGGCAGTTTGGCACCGACCGCTTCTTCATCAGGTCGTGCGCGCGGGCGGGCGAGGGCCGGCGCGACACCTCGGTCACGCCCATTGGCATCCGGAGGCCAGCGTACAGCCGCCGGTCCGGCACACAGACGCTGCCCTGGCGCACACAGCCGTCGGAGCACTTGCGCCAGAGGAAGCCCCTCCGTGAGCACGTGTCTGGAGGAGGTGGGAGCTCCGGCGGCGGCTTGTTGAAGAAGACGCCGAAGAGGATGGCCGTGCCGAACCACGCGATGATGCTGGCGTAGTGAAGACACCTCATATGTCGTCGGATCGTCGGATGCAGTGAGCTCACGGGGCAGAAGCCGCGAAAGGAGGGCGCCTGGGTCTAAATTTAGAGCGTGTGAATGAACTTTAGTGATAGTTTAGTGCGCTATTTAGTGCGTGTTCGAGTGCGTATATAGTGCGACTTTAACGCAAATTTAGTGCAAATTTAGTGCAAATTTAGCACATATTTAGCACATATTTAGTGTGTTTTATCTCCAATTTAGCGCCACATTTAGTTCACTTTAGGTGCGGGCAGCTGCAGTACATTTAGTGTGGGTCCCGCATCTTTAGTGCGGGCACGCACCTTTAGCACGGCTTCCCGGCCACACCACAGCTAGCCAGGGCCGCGTGCTTTGCTCCTTGGCTGCCAAGAATGCACCACAGGAGATGCCTGGCCCCTGCCCTCATGACCCAAAGGCAGGCTCCCAGTGAGGCTAGATATGCCGCCCTCCAGAGCAAGATCTCCCGACTGAGCACAGGCACAGCACCGATTCCCGAGAGGAGGACCAGCACAGTTGAATGCGCCACCGCAAGCAAGCACCACCTCCGACCGCACAACCCATGCTGTGCCCGTGACCACCAGCTGTAATAGAGTAGAGGTGAGGGTCGGTGTTGGAATTTCAAAACCAATGTTGAACCAAAGCGCAAAGGATGAAGGATCCAGACCACGATGACAGAAACGGCCAAATGGCCATGATCCATGTAGTCACCGCAAGCAGCTTTACATACGCGTGTACTCGTAGCATGTTGGATCCAGCCCCAGGCATGCACCTCCTCCTAAGTGCAATGGCAAATACACCGGGTTTTCTTCGTTCGGTTGGGGACGGGACGGGGAACTTTTGCGAGTGGGCAGGGGACTGCAGGGGGACAGGGGGAGGGAGGCCCAGCGAGGGGCTGCGGCTGGATCCTACTGCGCGGCTGGACTAAAGACGCACTAAACCTCGCTAAATCTGGATGTAAAGTCGCACTAAATTTGCGCTAAATTTGCGCTAAATTTGCACTAAAGTTGCGCTAAATTCGCGCTAAATTTGCGCTAAAGTGCGCTAAAGATGCAGTAGATAAACACTTCACACCGCACTAAATTTAGACCCAGGCGCCCTCCGCGAAAAACAGCGAAAATCGCGAAAAAGAATTTCGTCTGCGTGGCACGACACGATTCAGGGGAAAAATAATTTCGACCTGATTACAATGATACAGCACACAACGAATCGTGTACACGTAACTCGAGAAAGCCTAGCGGAAGTTGTCCGCGCCGAACGCCACAAGTATACAGCGAACGAATCACGCACGACACTAGACAAGAGCGACACAGGAGGAGGAGGAGAGAGGGAGGGAGAAGAGCAAGCACGTCGACCCAGCCAGGCGCCGGGAGGGTCCCGACTGCCGCCGGCTCCCATTGGCCGGGCGCCTCGGCTGGGTCCACCATCACCCGCCCCGTCCGCCGTCGGGCGCAGTCTCGGACGCGGCCGCATGATCCATGAAGCCCCAGCACCGAGACCGCTGACGCCCCACCGAGAGTCGCGCAGGTTTGCCGCGAAGCGTTAGGGCGCCAGAGGGGGCGCCCCAAGTATCAACAATGTTACATCGTAGTTGAAACACGCGTCAGACGCAGCGTCTCCCGCTGGTTGTTGGCGTCTTTCAGCAGCTGCAACCGCGTACGCGCCGCGATGCCTGACGTCCCGAGTCCGTTGTGCCGGAGGCCAGGATACGGAAACGGGTGCATCGACTGCCAGAGCCACTGGAAGAAGGACTTCTTGCCCTGTTCGGCATCGGTGAGCGGCGCGTCGAAGTCAAGCGACCGGCAAGTGCCCAAGGCCCACCCATCGCGCTCCGCCGCGCCAGTCGCAGATTCCGAGGGCACATCGCCGTCGCTGTCCGCGAGGAAGAGCGACTGGCTGACCTGGTACAGCAGCATGTTGCGCCAGAAGGCAGGAATGCAGGGCGCCAGCTTGGTGGCCATCTCGTCCATCATCTCGAAGCTCCACTTCAGGAGACGGCAGTCGGTGACGGCTGTGGCCGCGAAGTGCGTCGTCGACAAGAGTCCGACCCGTATGCCAAACACGTTGGCAATATTGAGATCGAAAAGCGTGCCGCTGAAGACTCGCCGCCTCTTCGGCTCCTGCTTGCTGTCATGCGATACCTCGAGCTCGGCCACGCCTTCAACGAGCAAGAAGAAGCTTTGAAGGTACTCGTGGTGGCCGACGATGCTCTCCCCGGCCTTGATGGTGACGAACTCGCCGCGTCGCACCACCTGCTCGAACTCCAGCCGATTCATGCCGGAGCGCCGGTAGAAGAAGCGCCACGTCCGCTCCTCCTCCTCGGTCTTGAAGTGGACCGTGCGCTCGTCGCGCAGCAAGAGCGCCACGACGATTGAGTTCATGATGAAGTTCAGAGTCCCCCAGCACAGCATGTCAAGGAGCAGCACCCGTGGCTCCGACGTCGAAGCCCATCCATCTCCGTGCTGTGGATTGCCTGTCGCCGCCAAGATCACCATCCACATGAAGCCCGCAGCCAGGCAGCTTTTGATGAGCAGCAGGTCTGAGAACAAAGCAGCGAGAAAGAGAAAAATATTAAAGAGCCAGTTGTATGCGTGCGGCACGCCGGTCGCCACATAGGAGGCCATTGCAGGCGATCGACTTCAAGGGGGGGTACAGGCAAGAAACACAAACCCCTCCTTTTCTTTCTTTCTATCTCGCTACCACAGGCTCGCCCTCCGCCCCTGCCCTGGCTGGCCTGGGTGGCATCTCCGCATCATCACGTGCCAAGTGGGAGGGAGGTGGACGGGGCCCTGAGCCGACCTAGCCCCAGACGGAACGGGGCGCCCAACACGTGCCCGGATTACTGTGCCTTCCCCGGGTGCAGCCTTTCGGTTCGTGAAGGGTCGGTGCGTGTCGTGACCCCTTGGAAACATTTTTATCAGGTCAGTCAGGACACGATGGCGGCGTGAGCACGACTAACTACGGATCCGCTCCTAACAGTGGCACGCTGGCACGGCGGCACGCCGCACGCGCCGCGCTGCGCCACCCTCGTTCAGGCTCTTCTTCGAGCGGTGCGCACCCACGAAGAGCCTGAACCCTGAATGGTGGCGGGCATCTTTGGCGAGGCGGCGGCGGGAGCGAGTGACGCGGCCTCTTCCAGCTTACTGGGCAGGCTTCCCGCAGAGGCCGCGACAGCAGCTCTCCAAGGCGACGAGGCGGCGCTGCTGGCGTGGCTTGACAGCGGCGGGCAGGTCAATGCGACCGACGGGGCGAGCGGCATCACCACGCTGATGTTTGCCGCCCACCACGGCCACGAGCGGGTGGTCGAGCTGCTGCTGCAGCGAGGCGCGGAGATCAACCAGCAGGCCAGCAACGGCGTCACCGCGCTGATGGACGCCGCCGCCTACGGCCGCGAGCGGGTGGTCGAGCTGCTGCTGCAGCGCAGCGCGGAGATCAACTTGCAGAGGAGCAAAGGCGGCACCGCGCTGATTCACGCCGCCTACCACGGCTGCGAGCGGGTGGTCGAGCTACTGCTTCAGCGCGGCGCGCAGGTCAACCTGCAAGACAGCGACGGCCGCACCGCGCTGATGGGCGCCGCCATCCAAGGCCACCCCGCCGTCGTGCTCCGCCTGCTGCGTGCGGGCGCAGACACGTCGGCGCGCAGTGCGAGCGGCAAGACAGCGCTGCAGTGGGCCAAGGAGGAGGGCCACGCCGAGTGCTTTGAGGCCTTCCGGCAGCACGTCGCGGAATTGGCCACGGCGGGGCGGCGCGAGGCGGCGGCGAGAGGGGCGGGTGGCGCTTCCTCGGGCGAGGCGGCCTCTTCCGGCCTTCCTGAAGAAGCGGCGAAAGCGGTCTCTTCCAGCTCACTGGGCAGCCTTCCCTCAGAGGCGGCGAACGCGGTTGTCGAAGGCGACGAAGCGGCGCTGCTGTCGTGGCTTGACAGCGGCGGGCGGGTCAACGCGACCGACGGGGCGAGCGATGTGAGCGGCATCACCGCGCTGATGCTAGCCGCCCAGGAGGGCAACGAGCGGGTGATCGAGCTGCTGCTGCAGCGAGGCGCGGACATCAACCAGCAGGACGGCAAAGGTGGCACCGCGCTGTTTTGCGCCGCCGGCCAAGGCTGCGAGCAGGTGGTCGAGCTGCTGCTGCAGCGAGGCGCGGAGATCAACTTGCAGGCCAGCGACGGCGGCACCGCGCTGATGCTCGCCGCCTACTACGGCTACGAGCGAGTTGTCGAGCTGCTGCTGCAGCGCGGCGCCGAGATGAATCTGCAGAACCGCAACGGCGTCACCGCGCTGATGGGCGCCGCCAGCCAAGGCCACTCCGCCGTCGTGCTCCGCTTGCTGCGGGCGGGCGCGGACACGACGCTGCGCTCTGGTAACGGCAAGTCCGCGCTGCACTACGCCAAGGAGAATGGCCACGCCGAGTGCGTGCGCGCCCTCGAAGAGCATGCGGCGGCTGAGGCGGCGGCGGAGGCGGCGGCGAGGGAGGCGGAGAGAGCGGCGGCGGAGGCGGAGGCGACGCGGCATGCCGAGGCGCTGCTAGCGGGGGAGGAGGCGGAGAAGGAGGCGGGGGAGCGTGCCAAGGGGAAGAAGGGAAAGAAGAAGAAGAAGAAGAAGAAGGGCGGCGGGGGCGGCGCTGGGCCGTCGCAGGAGCCCGAGGATCAGGCAGCGCTGGCGACGGGAGAGGAGGCGGAGTTGGCGGCGGCGCTCGAGGAGAGCGCGAGGCTGGAGGTCGGGGCGACGCGTGCGGCGGGGGATCAGGCGCGATTCGCTGAGGGCGCTTCGTCACCGGCGGCGGAGGCGCGGCCTGAGGGAGAGGAGGAGCCGCCGGACGACTTCGTCTGCCCAATCACGACCGAGGTGATGAGCGACCCGGTGATGGCGGCGGACGGGCATGCTTACGAGCGGTCGGCGATCGAGCGCTGGCTCGCGACCAAGTCGACGAGCCCACTGACGGGCGGCGCGCTCGAGCACCCATACCTCACCCCCAACCACATGCTGCGCCGTCAGATCCGGGACTGGGAGGGGGCGCGCAAGGCAGCGTGACCACGCATCCACCCGCACCAGCACCACCCTTGTTCCACGGGGTGCTGGTGCTGGGCGTCTCCCCCTCACCCCGCAGGGTAGAGTAGGAGATGGAGCTGCGGCCCGAAAAAAAACGCCTTTCGTTCGGTTTGCACACAGCGGGGGGTGGGTAGAGCTGCACACATATGTACCAAAAACACCGTGCAATCTCCGACGCGATTCCAACATCCAAGTGTGAGATAGAGCCCCTTGTTTCGCGCCGGAAAGGCGCGAATCCCTGTGTGGGCACGCTTGGGACTTGGGTAGAGTAATGTGTGTGCATTCGAGATTCGTTCGGTGTAAATCTCACGCAAAATAATGATACACACAACGAATCGCAACTCGGGATGATCGAGATCGTACAGGTGGAACAGGTGCATGAGACACAAGTGACGTATACGCGAAGTTTATGCCTACACAAGGCCCGTTAGCGCCGCGCGACACGGCGCTGCTGCCTCGCTGCTGCACACCGCTGGGAGCGGGAGCCTGCAGCCCTTTGACGCTGGCCGCGCCACGGGGCCCTGGTTGGAAGCGCCGAGCCAAGCCCCCCCCCCCCCCCCCCCTCCCTCCCCCCGGGCGCCCGCCCCGCCGCCCGCTTCAGCTTCACGGGGTGATCAACGGCGCCGCGCCAAAGGCGGTGCCACTGGCACGCCAAGTCGCGCGCGACGGGGTCGACGCAGCTTCGGGTTCGAGGAGCGGCGCGGCCAACGTGGAGGTGTTACGACGGCGGCGATGCTGCACCCAGGCGAGGAGGAGAACAACGAGCGTGGGCGGCACGGAAGCTAGCATGGAGCCGATGCCTAGCGGTCCGAAGTCGTTGATCGCGAGTGAGGCCTCGACGAGCGGCGCCTGAGGGGAGGAGTAATGAACCGTCATGCTTTGCCTTCCCTATACGACTCGGGGATGAGTTGAGCGTTCGGCGCCTGGCCGAGGTTGACTATCGACGAGACGAACATGCACAGCCCCATGATGCTCCCCATCGAAGTGGGTCCGAAGGTGGCGCCGTTGAAGGCGGCGAGGATCGAGAACAGAAAGGCGCGGAAGGCGGCGAAGACGACCGCGCCGAGAAGCTGCGCCGACTGCGCCGGCACGAGCTGCAGGAAGTTGTAGAGCAGTCCCAGAGCCGAACAGACGAGGAAGGTGCCGATGAGGTCGAGGTAGTGGATCGAGGCCTCGATGAAGGGCACCGCGGCGAAGCCGAGGGGGATGATGAGCCCGATGATCGAGATGACGCGGTCGACGTCAGGCCAGTCATAGAGCAACGCGTACTCGCGGTTGGTCAGGTCCACCGAGCCGAGGTAGAGGTTGGAGCGCGGCACCTGGATCGCCGCGTAAAGGCAGACCGCCACAAACTCGAGGGTGCGCACCTGCTCGAGGAGCGGCTTTGAAGGGAGCGAGTCGGCGTGCGGGCTCTTGGCCTCCTCGGCTGACGGCGTGCTGTCCACAGCCCGCGACTCCTTGAGCTCCTTGGCGTTGACGATCCAGGCGAGGATGAGGAGGGCGTATACGCCACCGGCGAGGCCGACGAAGAACCACCAAAGCGTGCTGAACGGCACGCCGGCGTCGTACGCCATCTTGAAGAAGGTGAAGATGATGCAGCTGCCGTCGAAGAGGCACGCGGTGAGTTCTATCACAACGTTCATGCTCGACTTGAAGAGGAAGGGTGCGGAGTAGGCATTGAACATGGTGAACGCGCCGCCAACCGAGATCATAGTGAACGAGACGAGGAAGAGGTCAAAGCCGGTCTCGCGGTTCACGTCCTCGCACACTGCGATCCCAATCAGCCCGGAGATTTCGAGCACGGCCGCCACCACCGTGCCCACCGCCGGCCCAAACTTGTCGACGAGCATGCCGGCGGGGATGGAGAGGAACGAAACCGCGGTGCTCCCAATCGTGAACGCCAGGTTCAGAGAGTTTGCCTGTGCATCGCATGGCGCGGGCTCGCCCACGCACTGATGGCTGTAGAAGCCCTCGTCTACCAGCATCGCGCTCAATGGCGCCCAGCCAAAGATGATCCCACTGAACAAGAAGACCGATGCCAGGTCGGCGACCAGCAGGAAGCCGCGCTGTCGGAATTTTGCAGCCGCCTCGGAATCTTGCAGCCACATCGCACGCCTCCTCCACTCAAGCCTGGAGGGGAACACAACGAACGCGGTGCGCGCTTTTCTTTATTTCCCTTCTCGCCGGAGAGACCACTGGAGCCAGAGAAACGAGAACAAGAACCCCGGGAAGGATAAAAAATCGTGGAGCGTGACAGGATAGCTATCTCCACCTATCTCCACCCAGGCGAGCGCGGCGCGGCAAGAAGACGCGGCCGAGTCGCTGCGGCGGACTGAGTCGGAGCTGCGGCGGACCGAGTCGGACTGCGCGCCGTTGAGCCTCAACCATGCACTGGATCGCGAGTGGCCTGATCCTCTACGCGTTCGCGGTGCCCTCGAGCATCACCGGCGTCGCCTACACCTTTTACCACTCCGGCGTCCTCCTCGGCAGTGGCATGTGCATCCTCGCGACGGCCGCCTCCGCCTGCGGGGCCCTGCTGCTGCTCAAGCTCATCCTGGGAGCTCCACAGGGGCACCGGAGGCCGCGTATGTTCTCCGACCTCGGCGCACTCGCCACCGGCCGCATCTCCGGCGCCAACGCCGCGCTCTGCCTGCAGCTGACAAACTTTGTCCTATACCAGCCTGTCGCGCTCCTTACCACAGCATCCGCGATGCAGGTAGGCGCACGCCGAGCCCACGCCCTCGCACAACGCCGCTCGTCTCCCACGTACACACCCACTGCCGGGGGAGCCAACCACCCCATCCTCGCCCCGTCTTGCCCTCGCCCAGCCCTGAAGCATCGGCGTCCGCGCGCCAGGATGCGGTGCAACCCGAGGGGGAGACGTGCACCAACTACTTCATCTTTTTGGTCTCCCTCGTCTGCTTCGCCGGCACGCAGTGCCGAGAGCTCAAGTACGCCTCCCTCCTCGCGGGCATTGCACTGGTCGCCGGGGTTGGCGTCGCGGGGCTCCAAATCTACATTGCCGCCGCCTACTCGCCCGGCCACGGCGACACGCACGGCAAGGGGGTGGGCGACCACGAGCACCGCAACCGCGGCTCCGAAGCCGTCTGGGACAAGTTTGGCCCGCCCGACCCGAGCAGCAGGTCTGCTCACCCACGTGCACTGGGCCTTGCACTTTGAATGCCGTGCCGGCTCCTGCCGCGTGTCCGGGTGTGGAGATACGAGGGCTGCCTGGGCCTTCCCCCACCACTCGGGTGTTGTCGAGAAGTTCCCCTCACCTCACCTCACCCGACCGCAGCAGGACCGCCTCGGTCGAGATGGCCCTCTCCCTGACGACAGCAATCTGGGCCTACGTGCCCTCGCTGCTGATCGCCGAGCTCGCGTTCGAGATGGAGTCGCCCGAGCACCTGAGCCGCTCGATCGCCCTCTCCGCCGGCCTCAACGTCGCCACCTTCCTCGCCGTCGGGCTCTCCGTCTGGTGCCTGTGGGAGGGGGGCGTCGACGACCCGATCACGCTGAGCGAGGCCGCCTCCTCGCCGTCCGGCACGTCTGCTGCGTCGGCCTCGCTCCTGACACCCCCCCCCACCCCCGCAGGGGTGGCCCAGGTCCTCCTTCGCCGGCCGCCTGCTCTCCTCGCTGCTCTGCCTCTCAAACTTTGTCGGCTACTGCCTCGACTCGGTGCCTCTCGCGCGCTGGTGCCAGCGCCGCTTCGTGCCGCGCTTCAGCGGGCGGTGGGACCTGCGCTCGGTCGGCCGCTACGCCCTCATTTCGGCGCCGGCGTGGGTCTTTGGGGTGCTCGTCGCCGTCTTCGTCGGTGCGCAACCTCCCGCTATCTCCCGCTATCTCCCGCTATCTCCCGCAATCTCCCGCAATCTCCCGCAATCTCGAGGTGTGCGCCTCCAGCTCCTGCCGCAGCAGCCCGCCCTGCTCCGCTCCTCCTCCGAGCGCTCTGCCGCAGCGCGTCGCCGGCCGTCAGCACCGCGCTGAGCTCCTCCTTCTTGCTCACCCTCGCCGCCCGCCCGTTTCTGCGTTCGGGCTCGAGCGTCCCCCCACACCCTCTGCAGGCTCGCCCTCTGGACTCTTCGTCATGCTCTCCTGGGCGACCGCGCTGACGGTGCCTGCGTGCAACCTCATCTTCCCCAGCATCTTCACCCTCTGCGCGTTGGGCCCGCCGCCTCCAGCTGCGCGCTCCCAGGCGGCGCTGACGCGCTCCCTCTTGAGCGATGTCGAGGCGCCCACGCCTGGGCGGTGCATACGCCAGTCCCTCACGCGCACTGAGGGGGCCATCGCCGCCTGCGTGCTGCTGTGGGGGCTCTTTGCGTTGGTCATCTGCACCTACGCCGCCATCGGGAAGACTTTCGACCCCATCGTGCGGGGGCCGCAGGTCCGCCGTTTTATGGGGGCCCTATCTCTGACCACATCGAGATGCGTGCGGGGGAGATGCCCACCCCACGCTGTATCGACACGTTCACCTCGCGTTACTAGGTAATCGGCTGCGAGGGCTGGGGCATCTACAAGTCCGAAGGCACCGAGTTCCGTGGCTTTGGCTGGTGAAGACCTAGTTTGTGCGATTTCGGGCTCGGGGCTGTGCGTAAAGAAAGAAAGAAAACAGACAACCCAAGGGAGGGATGTGCGTTTACGAAGACATCGGTGTCGAAACACCTCTGACAGCGCTCAGAGCCACGTTTTTTCGGGCAAGGCGTCTATTCGATGCTCTGCACGTTAGCTGTCCGGGAGGCGTCCGGGAGGCACCTCCCGGACATCAAATGGGGCCGCCTGGTGGCCTCAGAGCGCCAGCCGAAGCAACCCTCGTCGTGCCCCGACACCCCCCCGACTCATGCTGTGCCGCTCTTGCATGTGTGGCCGCTGACGGCGGGGCCCCGTGCGCGGCTGCGCCGCAAACTCGTGACTGCCGTCGTCACACCTGTCCACAGATGCGACGGGTGCCTGTCCGACCGCGACAAACAGGCCTCGTAGCGGATCGCCAGCCCGCCCTTTGCCTCCGCAGACGCCTAGCCGAATCGTCGTTACCTTCCGCAGACCGAGACTTCCGAGCGGGCGCGTTCTATAGATGACGGTCACGCCCAACTCACCAGCCTTGTGGCCTGAAACCGATTCTGAGCCCTGCCTCCGCCGAGCGGGTATGGCCGCTGCCCGGCGGCCCGCGGCACGAGTCGGTCCCCCCCCTCCCCGCCGTCCCGGTTCCCGCAGGTGAATTATTGCGATTTCGCCACCCTCCTCGCCGCCCTCTCCGCCACTGTCGCCTCCGCGCTCTCCTCCGCCGTCGCCGCCGCCCTCGCCTAACCGCCCTCTCCGCCACCCTCCCCGCGGCCTTCTCCACCGCCCTCTCCGCCGCTCTCTCCTCCGCCGTCGCCGCCGCCCTCACCGCTGCCGTTGCCGCCGCACTCCTCCCCGCTGCCGCCGTCGGCCTCACCCTCCCCGCCGTGCCGTCGGTCTCGCCGTCGCCTTCTTCCGTGTCGCTGTCGCCGCTCCGCCGTCCGTGTCGCCGTCGCGCCGCCTCGGATCTGTCCGTGTCGCCTTCGCCGCCTCCGTCCGTGTCGCCGTCGCCGCTGCCTTCCTCCGTTTTGCCATCCCCGCCGCCGATCTCACCTTTGCCGCCTCAATCCATGTCGCCGTCGCCGTCGCCGCCGTCGGTCTCGCTTTCGCCGCCTCTGTCCTTGTCGCCGTCGCCGCCGCCGCCGTTGGAATCGCTCTCCCCGCCGCCGTCGGTCGTGTCGACTTCGCCGCCTCCGTCCGTGTCGCCGTCGCCGCCTCCGTCCGTGTCGCCGTCGCCGCTGCCTTCCTCCGTCTCGCCCTCCCCGCAGCAACCTCGCTTGCCGTCGCCGTCGCCGCCATCGGTCTCGCTTTCGCCGCCTCCGTCCGTGTCGCCGTCGCCTCCGCCGTCGGATTCGCCTTTGTCGCCTGCTCCGTCCGTGTCGTCCTCGCCGCCGTCACGATTCGGCATACACACAGTTTGCACATCTGCAAGTTCTTCTTGATGTACACGGCGGTGCAGCCCCTGGCAATTAGCGGGCAGCTCAAGGCATCGACGCTCTCGCCGAAGCCCCTGTGCACTTGCCGCCGTTTTATTCGGCGCAATGGCCGGCGTTGAAGCTCCGAACCCAGGCGCAGCCGAGCCCGTTCAGAGACAACACCAACAACCTCTTTCACTCATTCTTAAAACAGTACCGGCCGGGATTTCGAAGATAGTGCTAAAATGGATACCTGGAGAATGGCATTTAATTTCGCGGACCGGCTCTTTTAGCAATCAGGTCATGTCACCGCTTAATGTGCATGTGCGTGGCCTACGTCAGAGACCAAGTGACCAGCCGTCCCGGGCAATTTGTGACCCGTCTACGCCCTCGCGCCTCGGGCGCGGCCGGCCACCGCCGGCTGCCCCGTTGACTTCCCCGCCGCGCTAGGCGTTCGTTCGCAGTAATCTGGCTTAGTTCAGAGAGGTCGGGTCGTCTCTATGCGTATCACAGCGCGGCGCTGGCCTGCGCATGGCGGGCATGTGGTCGAATCAGTCAATCATTTGATGTTAGTGCCAAAACCGCGGAACCGAAAATGGCGTTTAATTTTGCGCACCTGCTGTCCGCCGCCTGCGGCGGCGCTGCGCGCCGCCTACGCGCGCTGCGCGCGCGTTTTTTCTCTCTTTTTCTGTCTTTTTCACAGTGTAATTTTACCAAAAAAATGCCGTTTTTTCAATTTGCTGTCGCTCGAAGCCGAGGAGCTGGCATCGCTCGTTGGCCAGAAGCCGATGGAGCTGGCTGGGCTGGAACAGCATCTGCGCAAGCTGCTCTTCCAGACCGGCGCGTTCACGACGGCCTGGTCCTGGGTGCTCGTCTACTATGGCACGTGGCATTTGCTCGCCGGCGAGAGCCCGCTGCAAGGGCAGGCCGGCCTCGGCGCACACGCCGAGCGAGAGGGCATGCTCTTGCTTCTCGCGCCATATCTCGCCGTTAGCGCATCCGCCGCCGTGATCCTGACCCAGCTGAAGGCGGCCCCTGGACCCATGACTGGCGCCATAGTGGCTGCTGTCGAGTTCTTTCCGTCACCGATCTTCACCGCCACGCTGCTCGCATTCCTTGGCCGCTTTTCCAGCGGATTCGCTCTTAGCATCTGGAACCTTGGAATATCTTGGGCGGTGGCATTTGTGGTGCACTTGCTGCCCACCACGGGTTGCGCTGGCAAGGTCGGCGACGTCGTCCGCAAGACTGTGGGATTCGGCCTGGGCGTGGCTTGGAACAACCTCTTCAGTCGCGCGGCTCCCGAAGGCTACCAGATCATGGCGAGCACGATCTACCTGGGCATTGTGGTGCTTCTAGCGGCCCACCTGGCCGCTCCTGAGCCTCGCGCAGATGCCACCCTGAGATCACGGCATGCCGCAATGATGTGCTTCGCCTCGCGCGTCGTGTGCGCCTTCTCGCTGTCGGGCTGGCTATCAAAAGTGATGCCCTTGTCGGGCCTGCTCGGAGATGTGTGCTCGCTGGTGCTGCTTCTGCTGCTTGGCGCAGTGCTGTCAGGCTGGCTGGCCCGCGCAGACCTGGAGGGGGGCGGCCCCGCCTGGGCGGAGGAGCGAGCGCAGAAGCATGACTGGGGCAGTTGCCTGTTGCGCGTCTTGATCTTCGTGCCTTGTGTGTGGTGCTGCTGTCCCTGGATTCCTGTGCTCTGGCTCTTTGCCGGCAGCGGCCCTGGCGTGAAGGATCGGTGGCTCTCGCTCGCCACCACAGTCTGCGCGCTTGCTGCCTCGGTGGTGGCCACGAACCTGATCACTGGCTCCATTGACATGCTCGCAGCTGCTGCTGGGATTTGCGACGCACAAACTTGCAACGCGCTATCCTTTCTGGCTTTTGAAGGCGCTGCCGCAGCTGTTGTTTCGTATGTGTTGCTCCAAGGGATCAGTGAGATCGACGACACTCCCAAAGTTGCAATGCCTGCACGCTTGGACGAACATCTGTTACCGCCGGCTCCTTCTGCACCGCCTTAGTCGATTTTGCCGGTGCGCAGGAGGGCGAGCTCGAGCCAAATTGTGCGCCTTGCAAGGCGCCCGAGTATAGCTGCATATCAGTTTGCAGCGCATGTGAAATTTGCTCTACCGCCTCGTTGATCACCGATTGGCGAGGGACAATGAGCGAGACGGGCTGTGCTCGGGGGGCCACCGAGGGTTGGTCCATACGTAGTCTGTGGGCATGCATGCTGTACTCTTTTTTGTACCTTGACACAGTATATCAATCTGGTCCTGTGCTCTCTCGCTCTGGGCTCTGCTAAAGCCGCGTACGGCGCGTACAGGGTCAAGGGTATGTGTGTTGCTGTTGCGTGTTGGACGGCGAGGTCGATGGAATGTGTTTTGACCTGTGGAAATGTGTTTTGACAAGAAAAAGAATGCACACGCTTAGCAGCAATGTCATCGACGTGATCCTGACGGCTGTCGTGTAAAAAGAACATCACGCACGCGCAGCACGCTCAGGCGAGGGACTCCACTCTTCAGCACAACGCCACCACTTGTGTGTGTGGAGAAATTTGGCTAGTTCCAATTCACTCTGACACGCTAATCTTGAAAACGCGTCCAACGGAGCTCCGTGTTGCTCCCAGCGCCCTCCCCCGAGCTTCCTGCGGCCATGGCCGGTGCTACTAGTATGGGGGGCTACCTGGCTACCGCGAGAGCGACCCAACTCGTCGACATCGTCCGATGATGGTGCCTCAAAGTCAGCCTTCGGAGGCTATCGTGGGGTCGAGCCGGCAGTAGCCGCGACATGTGGTTCCACCACCCCTCGTAGGCTTTGCCTCTGCTCGCCACCGTTCCCATGCTGCCTAATGGGATGGAAAGGGAGGCTGGGCGAGCGTATAGAAGCGTGCTCGACCTCGTCGTGGCAACCTGTACCGCAGCGCTGGTAGGCGAGATGAGCGTCGTGCCACTTGACCCAAGACGGGTCGCAGGCGTCGTACCGAGCGCGTCGAGACCGTGTCCTGATGTGATCTGCACGGGTGAGTCACGTCGGCGTCAAAGGAGCGACGTGCGACCTGTCAGAGCTTGATCTCCGATCTCAGCGGCGTCGAGTCATCTCCGGCGCGCGACAAAGGTACATCCACAGGACGCGC